TTAATATAATATTACCTTAAACCCATTCATCAGTTTTGGAATGGCCAATTCTCAATATTTTTGCACATTTTCAGAGGGTTCATTTTTAGATTAATCTTAAGGATCATTTTATCACCCCTTGAAAGCTTTTCCCGAACTCAAGCAACTCCCTTAAGTAACACAAAAACAGAGTTAGCAGAGGAAATTATGAGACAGTAGGCTTTGCATGCGGGTATGCATGCTGTGGAAAACAGAGCACCAGGCAACCCCATTCTTAAAAACCCAAAATTCTCTCTGTCATTTTCTCATTTATGCTCTCACCTCCTATAATTTGCTCAGCCCTTCTCTCTCCTCTCTTTTCTCCATTTTATTTCCCTTCTATTTCAGGGGAGGGAGAAATGCCTCCAAGGTTTGTTTTATGCAGAGAAATTCAGTTTTATTCAGCCACTATTGCAGAGCTTCAGGTGGGAGAACTCAGCTGAAGCTTCCAAGGGATGACTTACAAGAGTCCTTCTTCACTGAGGTAAGTTCTTAGACAAAGCCTGTCATGCTCCTTTATTCACTACAAAGGGGGGGGGCATCTGGGTGGCTCAGTAGTTGAGCATCTGCCTTGAGCTCAGGTCATGACCCTGGGGTCCTGGGATAGAGTCCCACATCGGGCTCCCCATGGGGAACCTGCTTCTCCCTCTGCCTATGTCTCTGTCTCTCTCCCTGTGTCTCTCATGAGTAAATAAATAAAATCCTTTAAAAAAAGAAAGAGGGGAAAGGCAGTTTATTATTCCAGGTACCCAAACACACAAACAACTGGAGTACAAGATATTTTTACCTCTCTGGTATTACTTTTCATAATATCAACTTAAAATATGAAATACAGTTCTTCTATATTGATCACTGTTGTTTGGAAAACACATATATGAACTATACATGCACAGGATTTTAAAGAAAAGATCTCTCAATGCTTCATACACATCTGCTTCCCTTTTGGCCTCCGAAGGCTTATTCTCCACCCAGAAGTTAGTCTTTTTTTTTTTTTCCTAGTATAAAGAAGAATGTATCACTTTCCTGCTCAACTCCTCCAAAAGCTGGCTTCCTACCACAGTGGGAGTATCATCTCTTTTCCCTACAAGTTCTTAGGAGCTCTCCAAGCTCTGCTTCTTGCCACCTCACCTTCTTCTCCTATCACAGACTCTCTCAACCCTTTTCTGCCCTTCACCATTCAACAGCTTGTTCTCACCAAGCTCATTTCTCAGCCCCTGGGAATGTGCTCTTCCCTCTACCTGGAATTCTCATACCTTCTGAGACACCTTCCCTTACCACCTCAACTGTAAATCCTTTTCTACATACTCAAGTTTGTAGCTCGTCCTCCTTTATTTCCTTCACAACATATGTGAAAAAAGTATTATATATTTGACACCTTATGAGAACATCTCTGGAAGTCTCCTTGTTTATTTTCTAGTTCCCCACTTGAATGTAAAATCCACAATGGCAGAGACTGGTCTTTTTTCACTACTGTTTCCCCAGCACCAAGAATGGTGACTTTTTAGTAAATTATAACATTAAAATGGGATGTTTTGTCTCAGTTGCAGCAGAAGCCCCAAAAGTGAAGGATAATTTAATAGGAGTGACATCCTAATGAATATTTCACTAGGTCTTCTGGGCAGGACAGACTGTGATCATGGAAGTTGTTGCACTAGTGTCACAGGTCACCTTTAGCTAATGTGAGGGGAAGGCTGAGGAATTTAGAGTGGCAACAAGAGACCTAGTGGAGGCTAGACCCCCAGGGATCTATCTAGGCCCAGGGCTGAGAGGTCCCATAGAGATGGGGTGTGGGGGGGAGGTAGTACTGTGGGCCAAATTGTTCAAAACAATAGTACTCTTTTTGAATCTTTAAAAGTAATGGAGAAAAATACAAGAGTGAAGCAAGAATGACTAGTTCTAACTTTAAACACATGGCATCCGTTTAAAACTGAGGGGTAGGCTTTAATTGAGGCAGTAGAAAACAAATGCTCCATAATTGAAGGAGGTATGACAAGCTCAGAAATATAATATCCAGACAGTGCACAGTGATGTAGAGTTTGAGGGATGTTGGAAGTTTCTGTGTTGCACCCTTTCCTCCCTACTCTATGCTTCAAAATGGCAACATGCTTTCCTGCTTTAGACCTCCGACATCTGCTCAATGACTTCTTTCCATCCTGAAGATATAGTAAAAAAATTAAAAATTTTAATTTTTAAATTAAAATGGCCCTACATCTTCTATTCCCTTCCTAAACCACCATGCCCCATCTTTCTCCACTCTTTTTGGCTCTCTTTTCTGTATTTCATATCTCTTGGTCCTCACAGATAGCCTGTTTCTATTAACTCTAGGGCATGCTTTTCCACGGTCCATAGCATTCTTTCCTTCCTCTTTTGTGTCCTTATCCTTCAAAGTTCTAGTTTTTCCCTGGCTTCTAGTTTTTCCCAGAAACCTGCAACCCTATTAAATCATCAGTGTTTGCAACCACAGCACTCACACATTTAAAATACTCATCCCATTTGTTACCTATGCACTGAAGGTCTTTTCTTTTCCACTAGAATAAGCTAAGCTTATTCATTATACTACTTCCCTAGTGATCCACACATTGTCTGGCCCTCAGTAGGAATTCAGTAGTTATCTGTTGAATTTTGGTTGTGGAATATATGTTCTGGAGTGACATCATACTTGGTCCTATACATATAGTGACCTATACATATACATATGTATTATATATATGCACCCCTACAAATACGTTTACACACACACACACATATACATACAATGCATGAGAGGATTGTGACCAATGACCTATATAAACACATGGTGTGCCACATGTGAATGCCACATGATTTAGAACTAAATAGTTAAAATACAATAATTTAAGAAATGTTTAACGAGTTCATTTTATATGTGTATTACTGATGTTAGCAACATCAACTTATTTTTTGTCCTTTGTCTCTAGTGGTATTTCCATTATCTTCTAAATAGATTTTCAGTAGGACAGCAGAAAGTATCACAGAGACTAAATCTAGGTTAACTTCTGGGCTTGTTCAGAAAGGCCAGGTAAATTCTCCAGAGGCAACAAAAAAACTGCCCATATGCTTCTCAGCCTTGTGCAAGGTTTATTATCTGGCAAAAAAAATCTTCGAAGAATTTATTCTCTGGCATTTTTCCTTTTCTGAGAAAAATTTCGAGCAAAATATGAAGTAGAATGGGGACAAACGGAACTCCTCCGAAAACAAAATCACTTGTGTGATGACAAGATCTATAGAACAGGGACAGGCAAGGATTTAATGGAGACAGTTGAATTCAACTTGTATTTTCTCAGGGTGTTAGATACAAGGGAAAATTTTAATGAAAGGTAGATCAGTCTAATCTTTGTGGCAGGCTGAATAATGCCCCACAAGACATCCACATTCTACTCTCCAGAACCTGTGACTGTTACTGCTCATGGCAAAGGGACTCTGCAGATGGGATGATGGGAAGGGTTTTGAGGAAAGAAATCAGGAAAACAAAAGGTGATGTGATGATTGTAGCAGAGGTTGGACTGATGGGTTCTGAAGATGGAAGAAGGGGCCACAAGCCAACAGGTGGCCACTAGAGGCTGAAAAAGACAAGAAAACAAGTTCTCTTCTCAGAGCCTCCAGAAGGAACTAATGCTGCTGAAATTTTTTTAGTACATCGAAATGGATTTTGGATTTCTGACCTCCCGATGTTAAAAGAAGACGTTTGTGTTGTTTTAAGAAACTGAGTTTGTGGTAATTTGTGATAGAAGCAATAGAAAAGTAATACAAACCCTCTCTTCTCAGTGTAATTGATACTAAGAACATTTTTTCAAAGTTGGAAATTATAAACACATGCATAATGACCTTGGGTTGAGACTAGTGGACTGATTTTTGGAAAGTTGAGGGAAATCTTTTCTAAAGCACAGTAATCCCTTCCATTTTATACAAATGTACTTAATTAGAAAAATTAGAAAAAATAACTTGGTGATCATACTAATCACCAAGATTAGAAAAAATAACTTGGTGATTATACTATTTTTACCCTATCAGCTCAATAGATTTAATAATTTTGAAACCACTTGTGAACTGGTCTTTATCATTTGAATTAAATGTCTTTAAATCATTGATATAAATAAATCATTTCAGTGCTTTCTGGATGGTGGCAGGAATAGAGAGATACTGAACAAACATTAATGCCACTGTGATTTTCTTCTGTTTCTAGTGTTGTGCCATATTTAATCATGCCAATATCCTTTAAAATGAGATAAAACACACCAAATATTGAGTAATATAGTCTTTGATATCCTCTTTAAGAAACATATTTAAAATCTTTTCAACCTATCTGAAATATTCAGCTCCTTATGAAGAATCCCAAGATGTTAATTTAAAAAGTCCTGGAACTTTTGCCCATTTTTTTTTAAACATTAAGAATTTGTTGAAGATTTTTTACACTTGAACATATTGTTTAAAATATAATCTTTCTTTCCAGGTGACAGGCTCACACAAACAAAGTATTTAAAGAAGATGAAGGTCTGTCATTACTCTAATTATCAGAGACTTTTAGGATTATAGGATGTTAAAAAAAGATCTCAAAAGAATACTTGAGTGTGATAATGATAATCATCTCGTTCACATCAGAATTTCAACAGGTAAAAATTCTGTTTACAGGTGTCATCTGGTAGAACTTATAATAAGTCTTATTTTATGAGTTTTTCGTTCCCCAGTTACTTCCACAAATCAGATGGTGGAGTACAAAAGCATGGCTAGAAAACAAAAACAAAAACAAAACAAAAGCATGGCTAGAGATTTACATTCGCTTCTAATTTAGCACATGATGTAACAATTTCCTTTTTCTATTATCTAAGACTTTGGAAGCTCTCCATTCCTTTGTTTTGCATCTAAATTGTTCAATCACCTTGCCTTTTGGGCATTATCTTTTGGATAATATATATATTCTACAAGATTAACTAATGTTCCTAACCAAATTGAGATCTACTAAAGTGTACATATTAATAACGTTTACAATTTATTTTGGATTAACCACTGACATTTACAATCTTGCAAATACAATTCACCTAAAACATAACTTTATAGCAATTAAGGAGACAACGTTAAGTATCCTTTTAAAATTCTTACTTCCATAGTTTTCTCCTACAACAAAACAGTGGTAATTTTGTCAAAGTTTAGCAATTCTAATATACTGCATATCCTAAGTATTATTCAAATTAGTGAGTAAAATGTTTTCCATTTAATACTTCCTATGGGGAACATAGCACAGTTATTGTCAATTAAGATTGTTTTCCAATTTTGACTAAGGAAAGAAAAGCTTAATAATGTAACTTTCTGCAGTGTAAAAAGTACATCATTAAAATCGGTAGCATAAATATATTGTAACAATGTCTATACATATTTAAATATGCCTTTGAGAACTTGGTATGACTGTAAAGTCAGAGTAAAATACACAGATATACTTCCCAATATTTTTTACTCGTTTCAAAGATTTCATCAAATATAAATTTTATTATCAGTTGCCTCTTTGACAAATTCTAATTGTAATAAATTAACTGAGAAATTACTCTATTATGGACAATTATAAAATTATGTACTACGGTTCAATGTCTTTTTGGTAACTAAATGGCAGTTTACGGAGTTAATATTGCTGTGCTCTCCAAATGAGGCCAGTCATTAAAAATATGAAATACATAAATACTAAAACCTCCAATATGACTATATTCACAGAAATGCTGTCCATGCTGGAAGGACCTTGAGACATCTCCTGTCCATCTCTAGTCTATGGTTGAGAAGCTCATCAGTTCAATTTCAGCAAGTTAGTTGTGGCGAGCTCTATGGGCTAAGCCATTCATCACCTGTTTCCTAAGCGAAGATGATGTGTAGCATGTCATACTGACTCTCTCTCAAACACATACATTACCTTAATATAGGTCTTGTAAAGTAATCTTAATAAGCACATTTTAATATAAACTTGCATGTTCTACTGTGTAGTTTTTTTTTTTACCATCGTTTTCTTTTGGCAGAACAGCACAAAAATATATTTTACAAAAAAACAGCCCAGGGTTTGCTGCATTATGAGTTCTCACGATTATTTTCCTTTGCTTAATTTGACTGAATTATACCCTAGAAAGTGTAGGAATATACCAAAATTGAAGTGTTCTTAGAAATATGCCATAGAAATTCTCCAAGAAAAATATTAATCTAACCCCAAAACTAGAATACATGGCTGTACTCAACTTCATTATCAGCGAATAGACATTGTCTAGCCTCATCTGTCCTTCTTTTCTTAAATATATTACAGATACACCACTTATTCTGATTCTAGATTATATATTTCCTTTCATATTTAAAGAATGTATATATTTTTCTCCTGAATTACATACCCAAATTTTTTTTAGTAATACAACACTAATAAACTTCCTAAAGTAATGCTGTCCAAACCTAGTAAAAGTGACAGACAGGCTTTGCATAGAAGAGGGTTACAGTGCTTTACAGTACTTATAAATGTGACCTAATTATATTTTCTTCTCTTAAATTCAAAGAGGATGTATAGAAACTGATGAATCAAAACATGTTTTAGATACTTTTTGGCCATAATATAGACAGTGTTTTTAGAAATAAATTAATAAATTGCTTCTGAGCAGTAAACAATGGTCAGTGATATTTAGATAATAAAGTTATTAACTTCAGAGACACCCAGATCTTATATCCAGTAAGGATTTATTAGAAAAACAAATATTAAATAATTTATGATTTAAAATGGTTCAAATAAAGTTCTGAGGGAGAATATAATCAAATCATTTCTCAAACAATTTGAAATATAGAAGGCTTAAGCCTTCTGTATTTCTGCCAAAATAAGAATTATCTATAGGTGACAGATGCTGCTCCCTACTTAATGGAGGGTCTCAATTTTTACTCTGCATCTCATTGGGAAGGAAATATAAATTTTTAAAATAGAATTAACTTGGGGAAAGGCATCAGTGCTGCAACTCTTAGCACCAAATGTTTTTTCTTGGAGCACCAAATGCTTTAAGGAAAACATTCCAAGTATCAAAGTTTTCAGATAGATAAATATTTATGGATCAAATCCATAAAGAACAGACATTGTTATGAAATATATATAGATGCCTTCAAAACTTTCTTTCCAGGCGGAGTAGACACATAAGTTAGGAATCATTTCCCACTTAATTGTTGTTGCAACCTTATGCAACACAAATGGATTATGGATAAAGACTTACTTGTTTATACATAGAAAGTAGATCTTGACTGACATTAGGTCCAAAAAATTAAATAGGAACTATTTCTATCTATACAATATTAAAAATGTTATTAAACTTATAGAAATGGCTTTTATTCTAACCTTCTATTTTCCTGTTTAGGAGCTATAGAGGTTTTTTATTTAGTTCTTTGGTGAGTAAACAGCTCCCTTTCAAAGAAAATTCTTCTACATGCTAGATGGCAAAATGAGAGAAAAGAGCATAGATCTGGTTTCATGTCCTTAAGTGCAATGAAATTCCGTCTATCTTTGAACTTTATGAATGGTACTTTTTTAGTGTACATATAAACCGTTGCCTCTCCCTCTTCACTGAGAACTCTTCATAGTGGTATTAGAACTGGAAACCTATTTATGTTACAATCTACAGAAAGCTATTTTGTCCTCTAAAGACAGAAGTCTACTTTCATTGTTCATGTAGCAAAATACAAATGCCATACAAATGCCATGATAGTAGACAAATTCCAAGTGACTACCAAAGAAACAGCCTTAGCTTCTGTAGAATCTTTGGTGCCCTTAAATATCATTTATGGGTGTGCACAGACCAGAAAAGAAGCACCAAAATTTAAGAAGACAACAATAAGTGCTGTGCCAGATGCAAAGCTAGAACAAAGGTCTATGAGAAGAACTCATTGGGCGTATATCAGGCTTCCAAGTCACACTTGTAGACATGGATTTTTAATGCCAATAGTATCATTTGTGAACATTAAGCGACATCTTAGAACTGGGTATCATTCCGTCCTGAAACTAATCAGGACAATTATATATTTAGCCAAACAAACTTGAGCGTATGTGGGCTTACAATAAAATGGTAGCAGAGGCACAGGTAAAATTTTATTTCTGAGTATGCAGACACATGACTTTGGATCCAGCCAGCCAGTGACATAAATAAACTTGTGCAAAAGATTCAAGCTAGACAATATGCATATATATATATACACAAATATATATATTTGTGTGTGTGAGTAAGGCTTCTTGGCTCAGTGTCACAAATCTGGACACCAACCAACAGAATCACTCCCGTCCTCTGAAATTTCCATTAAGAGCACAATGGGGGTAATTACACTGGGATGTTCCAAATCGCTCTTTCCATCCTGTGCACTTACATGCCCGCCAAACATGAAACGTTCGCCTTCTCCCTTCCAATGTGATGGTTGTTGAACTTATTTTTAGTGTCATTTGATAAGCCTTTGTGCTCGCAGAGAGACATCCCACTGACCCAGCCACTGGTCATTGTCTATCCCAGTTCACATCAAAGCAGGCGCGCTTTGTCAGGTTTCGAGTCGAATATCCATTTCGCATCTGAAGTACAGTATCGAAAGTGACTAGATCATTTGAGCTTTTTTCTTCAGCTGCTGCCTCCTCCCTCCCCCATAGTGTTTCCACTCATGCTAACATAATTTGGCATCGTCGATGTGACACAATGGTGGGTTTTCTAAAAAATTATAATACATACATTTCGATGTTTTGAGGTGGGGACCCTCCTGAAAATTTAATTTATAAATTGATGAGAGGAGGTCTTTTTCTTTCTCTACTGAATCATCACCAAGGTAAGAGTGCCCCTCAAAATCCAAGTAATGCGCATACAGTAATAGGTCATTCAATGTCAAAAGACATAAAAAAGATGAGCAAAATCTTCACAGGCTGCTGCTTGCTGTTGCCTTTAATTATATTAATTAAACTTTGAAATTTTCATGCAAAGAGAGTTGCTGGCTTGTGACGCTGAAGAGCCCTTGGAGACTTGGAGGAAGGAAAAACCCTGAGCAGAAGCTTTGTGGTTACTGCTTCCTTTAAATTAAAAGCAAAACTAACTCCCGGTATGTTTACAGATATTAATGCTTTATGCACTACTACACCCTAAACATTGAGAGTGGGGATAAATCTACCATCCCAGGGATAAGTTTCAAAGCACAAGTCCCTTAAACTCCACTTAAGATCCCTGGTTAGAGGCCGTCTTCCCATGGAATAATGCTCTATTAATTTTCTTCTTTTCCCAAGTGCATAGTGAAAGAAAGGTGTTTTCAAACACTAAAGGGCAAAATCTTGCTTGCTACCAATACCTTGAGGCGTCCTGTCTACATTTTGTCATGCGTGTGCACTTTTCAGTGTTAGAATGACAAGATTGCCCAGTCAGAGGCTTCCTGTAAGGCACATTGTGATAGGGACTTGGGAGGATTTTGTAATCTGACATAGTTATAAGGCAATGGACCTGTATCTGCTTGGCCTGGTGGGAAATTTCATACCCTGCCTGTAGCTAACAATCTTGTGATGTGAAAACACAAGTGCCATGTCTCCATGTAAAACACTCCTCTCTCCATTACAGATCCATCACGGCCAGTTGTTCTATGGTCCCCGTTTTGATATCATCTTCATGCTGCTGCTTTTTCCTCCTCTCCACATTCCAACAAACTTGCTTATATAAAACATAGCATGTAGATTAACATTAGTCTTTATTTTCAATGTCATGAATCATGAGTTACCACTGGGTTTCATCAATTCTTGTGTAGATGGCAGACAAGTATTTAAAAATGTTTGGTGCAAGCAAAGCAGAAGGCAGAGAAAACATTTCCTGACTGAGAAGAATAAAGCTGTTCTTCCAAAATCTTCTGAAATGTACTTATTACTATTTTTTTTTCATTTGATTGGAAATCAGCAGTGTGAAGATGTATCTTCATACCTCCTTGGTCTTCCTGCTTTCCTTTTACTGAGATGGAACTCGGGAGAAGTTTATGCACCGGCCCTAGAAAAGAAAAAAAAATCAATATTGAAATATTAAAGCAATTATAAAAGCATAAGAATACCTAGTTTTACTACCACAATAATAAACAATTACTCATGAACAGGTCAATGTTAAGCTAAAACATGAAGTCATATTTATCCTCCTCAGATCAAAGCATGGTGGTTCATTCAGATCTTTTCCATACCAAGTTCATCTACACAATGGTATGGTAAAATTAGAGTGCAAAAAAAGCTATGTAAAATAGAACTATGTTACTGCTATTTAAAGTACAGCATTACTATCTTAGCAATAAAAATATCAAAGCCAAACCCTATGTTTCCTTCTATAATGGATTTAAATGAAAGCACTCCTTTATGCAATCTGGTGCTTTTAAAACTGATATAAAACTGGTGCTTCTAAAATGCATACATGAGAAATGTACTTGAGAAGTATTAAGAGGCTGAGGATAAGGAGTCAGGGAGAAAGGGAAGAGATGCCATCTCTTTGTGATTCCATTTTATAATAGGCTTTTGTAAAAGACTTAGAAAAATAGTCCTCTGTTGTTGACCATTTATTTCCCTGTGCACAACTACACATCATCATTACGTGTCTTCTCCAAATTGTAACTATTTATTTTCATTCCATATTTTCAAAGAGACTTTGGCATTCTAATTCCTTAGCACTTCAAGAAAAGCTAGGGAGACACATTGTTTCATATGTAATTGTAAATAATCCAAGAATTATTTGAAAACAAAGTTTTCAATTATTGGTAAAGGATCCCCTCTTTCCCTCTCCTTAGTATGACCCTGCTGATACCCTATACCACACAAATCACATTCAGATTTCTCAACAGGCCAAAAGCTCACATACCACTTTCTAGTTTAGGGTAAGGATTATCATCTTATTGAGACTTTCCTATTTGTCATAATATGTGCTCTCTAACTTCAGATTTTAGAACTTCTCTTTATTTCTCTCTAAATGTGAATAATATGTTTGTTTCAAATATCAAATACAGGATAATATTCAAAAAGAACAACAAATATTGTTGGAGAAGAAAGACTGGAACATCAAAACAGGATTTTGGTCCATCTTCCTCCAAAAATGTCTGCTCAATAAAAGTAGATATTTCAGAAATTAATGAAGAAGGAGAAAAGCCAAAAAGCAAACTAGTTTCCATTAACTTTTGGCTAAAGGCAGACACATTCACCAAATTATGTATCTTCTAAATAATTCTGGAGGCAACATTATTATTACAATTGTCGATTTTATTACTTACTTCATACCTGATATCTACAAATAATATCTGTGCAAAAGGGAGTTTGAGAAAAGCAGAGAGAAGATATGAGAATGAGGTTGAAATTCCATGGTAATGCAATGGTCTCAGGTCATGCACTCAGACTATATTTTTGTATTGTCTTGAACTCTCAAACAAGATCTTTAAAATGACTATTAATTCTGTATGTTGGTAAATTGAACACCAATAAAAATTAATCTATAAAAAAAATAAAATGACTATTAAGTAAAAAGATGCTTTTCTCCAGATTAGCTAAGTATGACACCAAAAGTCATAGAAACATTAAAAATGTTATTTTTATTTCATATCCCCTTTCTAATTTTTCAAGGGGGAACAGGTAGGAAAAATGACATGATTAATAAATATTTGAACAAAGCAATAAAACAATGCTTCTAAGCCACAATAGTGTAACTATATATACAATAAGAAATAGATCTGACTAGAATAGAATGAACATCAAAAATACTATCTTCTGAAGTCTTTTGAGAATCCAACAAATACATGAAGAATTTTATTATGGCAACAAGGATATGAATTAATTGCACCTCTTTGTTGTGTATTTAATGGACCAAAAAAGTAATTTTGAAAAAAGTTATCATGAATCTCTACTTTTACTTGAGTGTCATCGCTAAGTAACTAGATCTGGATAGAGGGCCTCTTCTCTGATCACTTTTGTTCTACACATCAGATTAATCTTAGTGACTCTGATTCATATACTTTAAGCAATTAGATAGTTTAAAAAAATGAGATTCATAGTTCACCTGAATTCTTAAAATCACTTCAATGCCTAAATTATGCCAGACCTAATTATTTTTCATTTCATTTGGTGTCATTTAATTATAGACATAGAAACTCAAATGAAGAAGACCCTACTGATTTTAACTCGGAGGTCCTTATTTCCACTTTTCCAAAGTTTGGGATTAAGTACTGATCATCAGCTGTCAAATGTCTAAAAAAAACTGTTATATCAACATATCATCCTGTGTTTTAACACACACTAACAAAAAAATAAAAATAAAAACAAATAACCTTTCCCCCTCCTAATCAAGGACTCGATATTTTTCACTTTTTATCAAGAGTTGATCATGTGGGGGTGTATTTTTATTTTATAGAACATCTAACAGATGGTAACCTGGAGGAGTTATGTTCAAGAGTTACTTTCTCTGCTAAACATTACCCTGTTCTCCCAGTCAAGGGGCTCTTTCCCTCAAAATTCCCATAGCATCTCCACTATAGCCAAACCACATTATGTAGTAATCGTCTGCTTGAATATCTAAAAAGAAAGGTAACAGTGATTAAGTCTAAGGTTTCCACAGCCCAAGGTATGTATTGCAGCTTTGCCACTTGTTAACTGTGTGACTGTGGGCAACTCATTTATATCCTGTGTGCCTCAGTTTCTTGATCAGTACAATAAGAAATAAAAATTGGACCCGTTCTTAGGACTGCTATAAAGATTGTATCAATTAATATGCAGAGAGCACTTAGAATACTACCTTGCACTTAGTAAACTCTAAATAAAAAATAGGTACCCATTATCCATACCTCCTCTACAATGTCATCGCAGTGTCTAACAGAGCAAACTGATAATAAATACTCACTTAGAAACAAATGGATGGATGATGAACATATAAATAAATAAATACATAATGACTAGACCTCAAAAATAGGAAGACAGAAGTGTAAGTTTGAAAGAGAAAAAGGATTACCAAGGAGAAAAATATAGCCATGGGAAAGGTTAGAAGAAAATAGAAACTGGAAGAGAACAGCCCTAAAGAGGAAAGGATAAAAATGGAGTAATTAAGAAAAAAAGAAAACTATTGGCTAGAAGGGAATTTTTATTCAGTACTCCACCAGGGATCTTATTCCTAGAGGAATCTGCCAATTACTCTTAATTCTTAGGGTAACCTCCAACAACCACTGGGCCAAAGTGTTTCAGCATTCCATGTTTCCATAGTTGAATTTGTTTACTTGTCTCTGGATTATATTCATTTAACATCCTGGTTGAGCCCATCCGAAGGAATTCTACTCAAGAGTACATGGGTATGACACAAACCAATGACCAAAATATCTTACAACCTAGTTAGCATTTTCATTCTTATGATACACAGCTCTAAGAGTTTCCATGAAATGCCTGTTCAAGCACTTGTTCAGGTCACAAACAGCAACGTAACTTTTAAAAATGCATGTGTGTGTGCTCACGTGTACACACAGCCCATCTCAAGTGCTATGCATAACTGGGATTGACTTACATAAAAATATAGGGAGCTCTTCAATTTTCATACCACATCAATCTAACCATTTCCCTAGTAGCTAGGACATATATTTCTCCATTCAATGTAACAGATTCATACCTCAGGCACTAATAATGGTAACTTTGGAATCATTTCTCTCCAGGTCAGTTGGCAAAACTATCTTGAAGAGGTAAGTTCTAAGTGAAATGCTAGCCATCTAGTTCTCTAGGTTGAGTTCTCCATACAATGAAGTCCCTGAAGACCCCTGGGTTCTACAAGGTGCCTCGGGGGGTTACCGTGGCTGGTAAGGTACACAGGATGGGAATGAGCAGGCACAATGCAGCCTCTCAATGCTCATTTGGCTCAAAGAACACAATCTCACCTACCTTTAAAACTGTAATTCACTAAAAGATTTTGTTTATGTTTGCATTAAAAATGTATTTTGATAACTATTATTCAAAATATTCCCGCCTATGTTAAGGGCAGGTCACCAGTAAACTATTTACATACCTGAACTTGGTTTCTTTACATACCTGAACTTAGAAGTGCCTTCCTAGATCTAGATCTACAGCACCATTTCCTCAACTTTTGGTCATATGAAGAGCCCAGATGACTTCTGGTCATACAAAGAATTTTTTATTTTGGAAAATTGCTACTGAGGACACAGATATTAAAGGATCAATTCTTAAAATTAAGTGCCAGCTAGAAAAAAGCTTGTCACTTCTGTTAAGTTTATGCACTTCCTTTATATTATATAATGGTAACCATGACTCAGCCCTTCTCTTTGTGATCTGGCTTTCAAAAAGCTCAGGCATATGATGTACTAGAAGTTTTGCTGCCCTTAGTGTTCACTTTCTGATATAGCCCTATCTTGACTTCAGCCCATAATTATTTATTTTTTATTCTGAAATTTTATGATAGGTTTTTTTCTTTAGAAGTAGACCAGCTATAAGTAAATGTAAACTAATACATACTTCTTTCTTAAATCTCAACTTTCTTATTTATGAAGGCTCCATATTCAGCTAAACCTTCAAAACCCCCCAACAAATAAATTATCTCAACTTCTACCTTATACAAAAAAGATAATCTCAGGTCTACTTCCCTTCTTTGTTGCTTTTTCTTATTCTGATAGGACTTAATGAAGTACTCTGCAGACAGCTGATGTCAAATGATGATTAATATGACTTAATCTGAGGTAACTTACATAATTAATATGAACTTGAAGTTTATACATGCAGGCATATTAAAACTATAATATTCTTCATAAAATCCCAGAAGTTCTCCTATAAGTAAATACCCTAAGTCTAAAAACTGCAAAACTTTACTTTGTTTTGGCTTCTAAAAAAAAAATAAGTACAATACAATTCATTCTTTATAAACTTGAAATGTATTAACATATCAACTCATCTCTTAGAGCAGAGCTCTGTGCAGAAGTTTTACTCCATTACCCACTTTCTCTCCACCTGAGAAGGAACAAAATGTACCCAAGATAAAAC